CACACGGGTGTATTATGACACATCTCCACTTAATGTTGCTTTTCTCTTATATTGCTATGAGACTTAAACAAACTAAACTTTGTCCTAGAAATGTGTTTAAACACTAAATCATAAACTAAGCAACGTTGTAGATTGTGGTGAATTTTGTAAGAGAGCAGAAAAGTATCAAGCCAGCGTTGAAGAGAAACATGGAAATTATGGCCTAGTTGTCCCAGCAAATACTTCTGCAAAAACCTTTTCATAATCTATACACTTTTTTCTGCAGCACTGATTGATGACAGGAGATATGATGGTATTAGAGTGTGTGTGAATCCACTTAGAAATATTTCAAATGTTTCTATCATAAATTATGGACCATTATCTGATAGCAACACTACTGGCAATGCAGAAATTACAAACCCAATTGAGGTTGTTGACTTGCTCACCGAGCTGGCTTGTTCTTGTTCAGACGTTTTGTCACCATGCTAGTGACATCATCAGTGGAGCCTCCGATGAAACGACGGTATTCTACTCCGCTTGGTATTTATACTGTCCAGTCCATTATATTCACTTGCATTATTGAACTTAAGCTGAATATTTATCAACTTGCTTAATTATCAACTAAAGCCTTCCTTTCCACTTCAAAGAAATCAACATGTACCCATTCCAGTTCTCTGGTGTTCCTCTGGAATGAAAAGAACTTTTGGTACATTCATTTCTCAACGTGGGACACAAATTCACATCTTTTTACCAACTCTTCATCATCTCCATCTACTTTTTGATATCAAAAATAACTTTTCATAACTTTTTGCATGGGAGCAGCAGGCCATTCAGCCCCTCCAGCCTATTCTGCTATTCAACTGGTGATGGTTGATCTATCTCAATGACAACTTCCTGCTATATCCAATTATCCCTTAATATCTTTACTACCTAAATTCTGTCAATCTCTGTCTTGAACATACTCAAACAACAGATCTTCCACAACTCTTTGGGCTGGAGAATTCCAAAGACTCATCACCCTCTGAGTGACTATGACCAATCATAAACATATCCCAGTTTAAACATATTTTCTTAACTATTGCTGGATAAAGACACTATGTTGTAGCTGTTTGCCTCGTTTTTATCAGGCAGCTTTCTAGAAAAATCATCGTGAAGGGAAAACAACATTTATACAGTATGAGAGGAGAGTGCTGTTTAGTTGGCAAGTGGGCTTTGATTGGTGGAGGGATTACCGTAGAGGGGTACATCAGTTAGTTGATGACCGACAGTTGGCTGGTAATTTTTTTAAAATTTTAAACAGTTATGTTAACTCAAATTGGTTAAAGCATCGTCCTGCAACCCAAACCAGAGAATTCAAACAACTTTTTTGTTGAATTGAATGAGTCACAGTGTGTACATGTGTTATTTCTATCTGCAAAGAACAGCTTATTGATACCTTTTGCTTCCATGATGTTCAAGTTTGCCATATGGTGAACCAAACTGACAATCCTACATTGGGTGCCAGTGTAATTCTCTACACACTTAAGATTGTTTAGTAAATGCCATCTAATTGCAGAATCCCGTCTAATGTTGGACATTGTGTTTTCAGTCTAGCAAACCTGGGCTGGTTGGATTAAGGTCAGTATCTTGTTTGTTCTGAACAGCTGAAGGGACACACTATTCAGTACAATACAATTTCACAGCCTTTAGGACATATGGTCTACATACCTAGCATCACACCAGTACTGAAATTGAAATACCACATTACCCACTTGCATGACAGGCAGAATGTGTTTTTGGCTTTACAACAACATCCTGGTATTGGTGAACACCACTCATGTTGCTGTTTCATAGTAACAGACTAAATAGCTAGGTGCACACGCTGCTCAAACTTTTAAGGTACCTTAATCTAAATAGAAGGGGTGCTTTTCAGGACCAGATGTGATGACCTTGAACTGTTCATGAGTTTGTATGATATAAGGCAAGCAGTAATCTGATCAAGGTATCTGTTAATTCATAAGGCCACCTTCAGTGGTCAATAAATGCATTGGGATTCTGACAGTTTTAATGCTGTAAGTTTGTCCTGATTGGCAACATCATAAATAGGACCTGAACCATTTGCTTACTTTATTGGCTTGATGTTTAACCTGTTTTTCTAATCAACATCTTCAGAGATGTTATTACACATCTGTGGAGCAGTGGGACTTGAAACTGGGCCTCCCACTCCAGGAGTAGGGTCACTACCACTGCACCACAAGAGGCCCCCTAAAGCTTGATGTTTAAATAGGGCACATTAAAGTCATCTTGCAGAAAAATGTTTTCGCCTGATTGATCATCTTTCACTGTATGTTGTGCACTCATGAACTGGCCCAAGGTCATCACTTTTGGAAAAGTGCCCAGCCTATATCATATTACTTTGTGAGGGTGAGGTATCTCAAACTTTTGAGCCTATTCTGGAAGCTACATGTAGAACATACAGTATGCCTGTTTCACTTAACAAAATAACTGATGGCCATTCTTTGTTCAATGAGAGTCAACCTGCCTGGTTTAAAAATTAACAAAACTCGGCAGTTAACTGTCAAATAATCATCTGACTAGTGAGTTCCTCATGGCAATATCTCTACTAATCAGGAGTCTACTGCCAACCAAGCAGCAACCTCCTCTTATAAAAGATAAATGTTGTTTCCACTTTACGTTGATAATTCTTGTGAATTGTTCTGATAAGTTCAAGATGAAAACATTTAGGGGTTTTTACATTACTTATTTATGGGATTTGAGCTTCACTTGCTGGGCCAGCATTATTGTCCTCCTTTAGTTACTCTGTAGTAGATTGTGGTGAGCTGCATTTTAAATTGTTGTAGTCCATGCAGTGTAGTTAAACCCCTTGTACTGTTGGGGAGAGAGTTTCAGGATTTTGACTGAGCAAACCTGAAGTAACAGCAATATATTTTTAAGTCAGGATGGTGACTCTCTTCCTCTCTACTATTCCCAATGGCAAGTAACGGGAGGCATTATTGTATCCCATGCTAACAGTAACTTGAACTAACATTACAATGTTATTATTGAAATAACCTAGTCGGTTTCACACAGGTTTGATTAATGGAATGTTATTTGTGAATTTTAATATTCTCCTTCTGAGACTACAGACAGTGCAGCAGCTGTATCAATGATGAAAGTTGTAAATCTCAGACTTTCAGTGTTATTGTTTAGTTTATTATTAGTACTGTCATCTTCTAGTGCTGCTCATTCTCTGATTCAGTAAAACTCTTAATCTTGCTGCCGAAAAACATCAGCTTCTGTTTCCACATCTATCATTTCCCATTTCAGACCCCTGAATGAACTTTATAGGAATCACAACCTTGACCAGGTGCAAGGTGTTGACTTAGTGGTTTATTACAAACTGGCATGAGTATTTCTGTTTCTATCATTCCTGCATGTTGTCTGGATGTGACTGACTTTTGCAGAGGTATATCAATTTCAAAATGGGAACGTGTAAATGATTGGTGGCTAACAAGGCAACAGAGGTATCTAAATTGCTGACTCCGAGACTGTGAACTTGGTTTCCATGGCCAGGTTGTTCCTTGCAAGTTTAGGAAGGTATCTCCTTTGCAACATACCCACAGTGATGAGAGAGTTTCTTTAATTTGTGAATGTAATCTGCAACAATCTCACTTGTTAACGGTTTCCTTTTGCAGAAAACAACTCCCAGTGTGATTTCATAACCATGGCATGAATGTGAGCCCATAATTTCAGAACAGTCCGTAATAATGGGTCTTGCAGGAAAAATCAGTTAGATACCACCTCAAAAATACAGGCTTTACTGTGATGAGGAAAACATTTACTTTATCAACATCTCTATTATATTTGGTTTCAGCCAAATGTGTAACATTGTGTTGAAATTACACTAGCCCTCTTTGTTAGGATTGAATTCCCCTATTGATCTTAAGTAGCATTCAGCACCATTTTTCAATTAAGTACAGTGAACCTAACCATGATGTGCACATTGTGTAATCTTTCAAATTGCTCGAACTTCCCGAAAATTAACTTTAGGTGTTCCAAAGATGTGTTACAGTGTTCTCCAATACTTAATTTCTCAACCAAAATACAATAAAAAAATTCTATCCCAACCTCATAGACATATTTCTGTTGTGTATTGAATTGAGAAAAGATTCACAAGTAAATTCACAACAAGGAATCATGATACAAGCAACTTCATTACACTTTGCAACATAAAAGGCAATCTAACAAGCGTGGATCTTGTAATATACCACACGCATTTAAATAACACTATATTCAGTAGAATGTATTGGTCTTTCGTGTAGTAAAATACAATGGAACAGTGATGCGCAGTGGTGTCACACAGGTCTAATTCTAAACTACATGAATATAAATGTTGCCAAGTAAACAATTGTTTCCTTGTTGGATAGGGAGCAAATCAGAAATGGCACTGCCCAAGTTATTCTAAACCCTGGTTTGGTGTGGGTCAGTGTCATACTTTGTTGGATGCATTTGAAATGCCTTGAGCTGGTTCATTGTGCAAAAAGCATTATATAAATTGACGTTGATTTTGCTGATGCACTGGTAGAAATCCAAAGTGCCCTGCTTGATGTCTCAACCCAAAGGTGATGCATCAATTTAGAGACAAATTAAGAGAAAACTCAAATTATAAAGAATAGCCAGTCATTGGAAGAAAATAGAAATGTTGCATTAGCATAAGTATGAAATTTTCACAAATTAATGTCCAAGGTTTTAGAGGTTGATTTTATGTTTTCACGCTTACTACAATAATTGATGCCTTCCAATTTTTGCAATGTTTGTGAAACAATGCATCTGTTAGAACTGTGTTTTCTTTGCTGTTTGTCTCAAAATTTCTAATGCAAAAATAATACTTATTCCTAATTCATGATGTGCATCACAATCTGTGCTGGTGTTTTGATATCAATTTTCAGGCCATCAAAATCAGGTTGAGCATCCAAGAGCCATTTCTTCATACCACTACAGAAAACTAGAGACAACAAGCACTTTAATTCTTTATTTTACAGATGCTTTCAGTTCAGGAGATGCTTTGGAAACTGGTGTTACAAATAACAAGCAAATTTCAGATATTTTTGGTGAGAATGGTCAAACAAACAAAGATATCCAGGAGCAGGTGAGGACCAAAGGTATTACTTCAGAAGTCATGGAGACACCCACATTGGAAATGCCTCTGTCAAACCTTTCGGAAAAAATACCAGATTTGGAGAAAGCAGCTGTCAAAACTGCCATGGAAACGAAATTAGGAAATCATTTACAGAAAAAGTCACAAGATATTAAGACTGATGAAAGAGCTTATGACAAGACAGAAGAGAAAATGACATCTTCATCTTTGAATAAAGATTTTGAGGTTAAAAAATCGTCACTAATCATCAATTCAAAAGTCAAAGTTGCAATTGAAAATAATAATGGTAAGCATGAAGGATGAAACCTGTTGGTGTGCATGATTTTACGTAAAGTCTGAATTATTTTGCTTTATTATTTAATTTTGTTCTTAACAGAATATCAGCCGAGTGTCCAGAAAATAGATGTCTACAAAGTAGCCAATAGCTTTTACCTTGATTTCCAAGCTATCCAGATATTAACTAACCAGTTCATCAAAAATGTAAGTAACACTTCATTTGTGAAGTACAGAGTTGGGGCTACAACTTTAGTGCTTCTACTGCATATTGTTTCATTCAAATAGATATATATTTAATTTCCTTTAATTTTATAACTTTCAAGGTTTCCTTTTCTCTTTCTTTCTCTTCACTTCCCTATTTTGCCTTATACTTGAGTAAGATGCTCCTGACTCAGTAACTTATTCAAGTGCTCACTTATCATATCTGAGCCTTGGCACTTCCCAACAGAATCATTCAAATCTAATCTGTCCATATGACATCCAAACACGCACTCGTTTCATTGCCCTTGCGATGGAGTATCATCGTATTCAACCCTGAACACATGTTCAATCTCATATCCATTCCTCACCAAGGCTGCTACTTGCAGCTCCAAAATATTGCATTTCCCTGCACTTTCATCAGCATATCTACTCTTGAAATACTCATTTGTGCCTATGATACTTGAAACTTGACTACTTCAATGTTCTGTTGATTGGACCCCTACCAATTATTGTTTCTCAATCCATAACACTTTGATTTTAAACCTCTTCAGCCTTAAAAACATGTGGAAATATCTTTAATTCCAGTCTCTTGCACAACTTAATATTAATTGTTCCACTCTCAGTGGCCATGTCTTCGAATGCTTTGGTCAATATCACTGGAATTTTCTCCCTAAATCACTGCCTCTGTGGAATCCCTTGCTTTCAGGTGCTGCTCAAAACCTTTAACTTTTGCCAAGCTTTCTGTCACCAGTCCTAATATTTCCTTATGTGACTTGTTTGATAGCACTCATGTGAAGTGCTTTGAATGTCTTATGATAAAGATTAAAAGGGAGGTGAAAGAGGCAGAGTTTCCAACTATGATAAGTCCACACTTCTAACATCTCCCTTTAACATGATAAATCTCACAAGACATTTCAGAGGAACACTATGAAATAAAGTATGATATCAAGCCACATAAAATTAGACCAAATAATCAAAATCTTCTTAAAGGAAGAAAGCAGAGAAAGGGAGAGGTTTGAGCAGGGAAGGCCAAGGGCATGGATAAATGTGAAAGCAAGAATGTCAACCCAAGATCATGCTTTGTTTCATGGGGAGCCAATGTAGTTCATCAAGCATAGAGAGGATCTGTCAGTGAGATACTTCAAGATTGTAGAGATTTGCATGATATCAAATTTAAGAGGGCAATGCATTAACTGCCATCCAGAAGTGAAACAGCACAGAAGCAAAGTTTTGTTTGTTTACTTCTGCAACAACTGAGTTGAGACAAGAAGCCAAAGGTTGCAAACTGGCAATTGATTGTCCTAGTAATGATGTGGACATGTGACTGGAAGCTCAGTATGTTTTTTTTCCTCTTTCAGCCCCTCTCAGATTTTCCTCCACTCTCCTCATCCATATCATTGCTTATTTATCTAATCTCAGGTACTTTGATCCATCCCACCTTAATTGATCACTATTTCTCTGCCCTCCTACTATCCTGCCAGAATGGAAGACTTGATTTCCCCTTGTGTAAGCATGTTTCTGCTAATTTACGATTCTCTAGGGTTTTGGAAACAGCTCATTCAGGGAGCTGTCGCTGCATCTTTACAAGCAGCATCCAAACTGACTATGTTCTTTTACTATGTGCCTCATGCATGCCGACAATTTTCCTGTTCTGCTGGCTCCACACAGCTGTTACCTTGGATTCTGCAGATCAACAGTTACAGCTCCTATCTGCATTTCCTCCAGATTATCAGTTCAGCTCTTGCCATTGTCAACTTTATTGTTGATGACTGAATTAACATTCTGGTCTTGAAATTTAGCTGAACCATAACAATACTTTGTTCCTTATCAAAGCATCCTTGTCAGATTAAAACTGTCCACCACTTAGCTCACCTAAATTGTTATGGTAATAGTGTAGCCCCTATGATCAAATCACATCTCTGTGTATCCTCCTATATTTCTGGCACCTCTCATGCTTCATGTTACAATCCACGTAGAGACCAATAATTTTAACAGGTGATTTGTAGTCCAACTGAAAGGAATCCTACAAGATTTCAGGTTTTAAGTATTTTACTGTAACAAACAAATTAAAATCAATACTTAGTGGACAAATAAGTCTTTGACTACAGAAAAAAAAACTCCTTTAATTTTGTAACATGATTGAAAACTCCATACCACAGGGATACTTAGATGCAAGCTCTAAACAGAACTGTAGTTCTGGTAAAAACTAGTTCTGTCCAACATCATTCTCAAGTTCTGACCGATGTTCTCTCTATTATCACGTGCAAATGAATTTGGTTATGTAAATTAGTATCCAAGATATCTGTGGACTTGAGCCGCTAGTTGTAATACAAAAACAATTTATGTAACATATACATACTTTGAAGAAGTTTGCACAGGTATGGAAAAATTTCGCCCCAGTAAGCCAACAACACAATAATATGTTATGCCAAAAACTACCAAATCTGCTAAATTGAATTTTAAATTTACACGCTTGAACTCATGATCTGTAGGTTTTAATTTCCTAAACCAGTACCATACATGAGAGACATCTGTTAGTTTTTATATTGTAGTCTGTATTTTAGGCTTTTGATGAAACAAAAATTGCTGCATTAGTAGCAATAGCTCGAGATGAAGATCTTTTGTTTCAATTTGATTAGCTCAAAATGGAAAGAGGCTAAGGAAGCATGCCCTTTGAATTGATAGAAAATGTAGGAAAAACAATATTTTTCCAACTTATTCAATTGTTTCAAAGATATTTTCTATTTAGTCTTGCCTGGAGAACTTAGCTCTTAATTATGGATTATGGAAAATTGATTTATTTCTCAAGTATTGTGGAAACACCTAGAGAAAAGGGTCATTGAAAGTTCACTGTGGACTTTGGAGTTGGTTTTCAGCAAGGCTTCCTGTAAGTCACATGACTGGTAATAACCGCTGGCTTTGCTATAAATTCCTGCTGAGGCTGTTTTGAAAAATTACTGGCTTGGCAAGGTTCTTGTCTTATCTGGTTCAGTTGGAAGAAAGCCTGCTAAGGAGCAGTTACTCAGCTGATCTCTCCCAGTTCTGAAAAGAAAATACTCTTTAGTTAAGGGTTATACTTATTTGGTCTTTTGAAAGATTGATTGAAGACACATCTTAAAATTGAGTATTGCTGAAAAAAGACACTTTTTTGTCAAAGTTTTTGTCTTGCACTCATTAAGACATTTCTCAAGAAATTGTTCAACGGGAAAAATTAGTTATACTGTGTGAGGACTGGTGGGTTGACATGTGGCCTTTGATTTGATGAATGATAGATAACTGTTTTGTCTAATTTGTAAACAAGGCACTGACTGGTGAATTCTCTATGACAACACCTCGACCAATCAGAGGCCACTTACCAGTGCTCAAGCAGCATAACTTATTTTTACCTATACTTTGGATGTTTTTTTGACAATTGATTGGTGAATACATTGCCTTTGAGAAATGAGCCTGGGAATTGCTGTCATCCATTTTATTGAAATAGGCAGTGAATATCTTTCCAACTATAAAGAGCCCTATGAATTAATGGATGTAGCTTCCAGTACACCCAAGTAACCGTACTGGGAGGTCAAATGATAACCCTTGATAAATTGGTTGTCAGCACATTTGGCATTATGTAGCAAATGCTGTCCAATTGCAGAAGAATATCTAATATTTTGCCAAGTGTGGGCTGGTTGACTACGGTATAACCCTGTTTGTTGCAAACAGCCGAAGGGATATGTTGCCTGATACGATTTGTCAGTCTTTGGGACACATGACTTGGCATCTCACCAGCACTGAAATTCACAAATTACTTATTTGTGTGATGGGCAGAACATTTCTTTGGCTTGACAGCAACATCCAGTTAATGGTGAACATCACTCACATTGCTACTACATAGTAGCAGTGTGTTAACAGTTAGCTTTACCTGTTATGACCATAAGACATAGGAATAGATTGAGATCATGTCTGATCTGATAATTGTCAACTGCACATTCCTTGTAACTTTTGATTCCTTCACTGATTAAAAATCTGTGACAGCCTTGAATGTACTTAATGTCTGAGCCTTGATGGCGTTCTGTGTTATATAATCCCCTAGATACACTACCCTCTGAAAGAAGAAATTTTTCCTCATCTTGGTCTTAAATATGTGACCTCTTATTCTGAAATTATGCGCTCTGTCTTAGACTCTTATCTACCCAGTCAAGTCCACTGCAACATTTTCTTGCTAAAATATTGTAAATACTTTACCCTTCCAGGGTAATTGAAGAAATATGCAGGGAAAAATATACAATGTGCCTATTTCAATGCAACACACGCTGGCCACATCTGCTGAAACATTAGAGATGCAGACTGGAAAATTCCACCCTTTATCCTTTTCAAAATTAACCCACAGGCCAAAGTGTTCTTATTCCAAAAGGTAATCACTGCAGAGAAATCTGTTTTTAATTTTTACTTGACCTATTTTTCTAAAAAACCAGTTCAGAGATGTTATTACACACTTCTGGAGCAGGTGGGATTTGAACCCGGGCCGCTCGATCCAGGGATAGGAACATTACCACCAATGGCACAGGAGGGCCCTCACTTCTATATGACTGACATGTATGTCAATTATCATTTTTAAATTCATTTATGGGATGTGGGCATCACTGTCTAGGCCAGCATTTATTGTCCAACCCTAATTCCCTACTGAGGAGTTAAGAGTCGACCATATTACTGTGGGTCTGGAGTCACATCTAGGCCAGACCAGGGAAAGAAATCAACTGTCCTTGAATCAGATGGCGTTTTAGAACCATTGACAGCAGTTACACGCTAGCTTCTGAATTGAAGATTTTTTTTATTGAATTCATATTTCACTACCTGACATGGTGGGATTCAAACCCATCTACCAGAACATTAATTTGTTAATTAAGTTTTGTTTTGATAATAATTATGATGCCAATAATTAGTTTATTAAGGATGCTAGTTGCTAAATTTTGTTTGAAACCTGACAGAGATAAATTATTTAAGTGGTCACCCTGGAAAAAGTATTTTTGTTTTGTTATGATGAATGGCATTATTGGACTAGACCACTGTGCACTCCTGTGATCTCAGTCATACTGAATGACACCCATTGCCCAACTCCCCCTCCACCCACTACTCTCTCACACCTCTCCCCACAGTGCCTCTCCCCTGCTGTAACCCCTCTCCCTCACCCCATCTCCCCCTCTTCCCCCACCCATTCCAGCTCCCCTCTCCCCATATTCTCATCTCTTCCATATTCCCTCCTCCCTCTGGCCTGAGGAAGGGTCACGTGACCAAAACCGTTAACTCTGATTTCTCTCCATTGATACTGCCAGACCTGCTGAGCTTTTCGAGCAATATCTATTTTTCTCTCCGATTTACAGCATCCGCAGTTCTTTTGGTTTTTATTTCCCATCCTTTGCCGTCCCTCATTCCCTCTCCCCTCCCATCCACTCCGCTCCCATCCCTATTCATTCCCGTTCCCATTGCTCCCCATCTCCATTCAGCGGAAGTTGATTCCCGGAGTTGCCCTTTGACCCGGATATGTAAAGTGAAAAAAACTCTCCCCGTCCTTTAAAGATGGCGTTCGGCCCAGAGGGACCGGCCTGACCGACAGAGACAGAGAGATCAGTAAGACCCGGGGTTAAAGCAGGCGGGCGGGAAACCGATCCCGGTATTTATCACGCGAGTTACTGTCATTTCATCTCGGCACAAGCGGTGTTTTACAATCGTATTGTCCCCCACCTCCCCCCTCACAACCCCGATACCGTCAGCCTCACCTTGGGAATGACAGGAATATACCCCCAGTTCAGTCAGTGTTACCCCAGAGATTACAGTAATATCTCTCCTGGCATTTTCAGTGCGCTATCGACAACTGCAGTAATATCTCAGCAGTACAGCCAATCTTGCCCTTGGAATTACAATAATTCCCCAAGTATTGTCCAGTGTTCTTCTAGGAATTGCAGTAAATGTCTATCCTAGTGCAGTCAGTGTAACCTCAGAAATTGCAGTAATATCGTCCAATACGATCAGCGCTATCCTAGGAATTGCCGTACTCGCTGTTCTTGGAGTCAGGGTAACCCAGGAATGCAGTTATATCTGCTGTTACACGCAGTATCATGCCAAGAGGTTATTGCTCAATCTTTGTTTATCTCGTGGAAAGTGTCTTGATCTGTTCCATCTTTCCTGATAAGTATAACATTGAATTTCTATTTCATCCTAATAGTTCTTTATTTGCACCTTTTCCAATTTCTGCATATCTGTTTAATCGTGCAGAAAGCAGAACTATTCACATTGTCCAAAGTATCATCTGACCAGTTATTTTTCCCCATGTTTCAAACAATTATTCTGTTTTTCAATTATATTCTTCTTGATATGATTGCTTCAGTGCTTTATTAGGTTCTTCAATGACCTGATTAAAATGTGTTCCTGGTTTTAGTGATCTGTGTATCCCCAGATCCAACTCCCTGTAATATATTTAGATACTTATTTCTAAATAGTGTAGGACTTCCCTGTTCTTCATACAAAAGTGTGTCATCTTACACTAATCCGTATTGAAGTTTATGTTTCAGATCTTCTGTATTAACCACCCAGCTCAATTTGGTGTCAGTCTACAAAATTTTAAAATGCAATTCTAATTCTCAAGCCTGGCTCTTTTGTGTAAGTGGGAATCTATGGTGGTCCCAGAACCAAACCTTGTGGATTGTTACTTCTTGCCTTTTGCTTGACTGTGTAATCCATTTGTTGTATTAGCATGAATGTGTAATGGAGCTCACAGTTGGGCTTGCTGCAGTCTGACATGGTTTATCCTGTATTGGTCTTTGTTTTACCAAGTTCTCATCTGTGGATATCAAGTCTTTGTTAGCATGTGACAGTAGCAACATCCCAGTAGACTTTGGCAAGCGAAGACCTGGAGGGAGCCCAGGTTTCCTAATCCCAGCTGTTTAGGATTTGATTATACTGGTTTAACTCTGGATTGCATTTTCATTGTGTTCAAAAGAAGCATTACAAGATCACTAAAAGCCTTTTTTAAGAGGCCTTGGAGAACCAATTACTAATCTGGCACAACCAAATGAAAAATTAATGCAACTAGGAGATAGCAAGGACTGCAGATGCTGGAAGTCAGTGTTGATAAAACGTGGAGCTGGAGGAGCACAGCAGGTCAGACAGCGTCCGAGGAGCGGGAAAGTTGATGTAATGATGAAGGGTCCCGAATCGAAACAGCAACTTTTCCTGCTTCTCGGATGCTGTCAGACCTGCTGTGCTTCTCCTGCTCCACATTTTATTGAAAAATTAATGCAGCCTCCTTTCAAAATAGGCAAACTTCAAGAAGCAGTGAGAAAGCACAACAAGAGGAATCTGAACCCAGCAACTCGCCAAACTGCAATTATCTGTATTGTCTTGTCTTATTTGCATCAGAATCTTCTGGGCCCTGATCAGCCTTGGGAATCAGTCACATACCTGTTGGAGCACTACCAAATGAGCGTGTCACCTTTACCTAAAAGGCAAATAAGGCTATTACCAACAGTATGTGACCACAATAATGTCATGCCCTTTAGCATTTTTGATAATATTACCCCGACTGATGTAACTTCCACTGGTACTTTTGATTAAGTCAATTTCTCTGTTGAGGCATGTAACAGCATGCCCGTAGTTTTGTTCATATTGTTAATGTTCTCAACTATTAAGCTGACGAATACTTTTGGTGATAATCTCTCTACTGTGAAAATGTGTTTATACTGATTTGGGTATTACCCATTTGCACCTTGGGGTAATATTACTGTTACTGTGGATTGCATCGTTGCTGCGACTTTTGTTAATACATTTGATTTGATTGTTAAAGTTGCTGCCAGTATTGGTTGTACTGTCTTCTGCATTATTATTGATAATATTACCCACACTTTGGATATTACTGTTACTGATGCTTCCTAAAATCTTGCCCCTGCTCTGAGTGATTCTTTTTTTCTTCAGTTCTACCTGAAGATGATGGATGCATTGTCTGAAGATCCTGAAGTTACTTTGAACCTGCATGGTACTTACACCAAATTGTTCCTGATACCAGCTTTGGTGGGGTTTGTTACCACGTTTCTGTTTATACAAAGGATCTGCCGAGCAGTAAGTGCGCTTGTTGCAAATTGTAGTTACTTATTTTATAAAATTTATTTCATAAAAGGTAGAAATAAATGCATCTGAAGATGATGTTCATGTAATGCTTGCATTTGGACTACATGTTAACTGATAGTATATTGCTTTCTTTTTAGATCAAAAGCAGAAGGTACTTGGGTAAGTCACTTAAGTTCTATGTATAATGCCCAGATGCAGTGAATTTACATTTGTAATCTAATCAGTTTACCTTTAAGTTTCATATATTTTAAATTTCTTTTAGGGAGAGAAAAACAACTCGCAGGAACAGTTTCTCAGCTACTTGATGAAAAATGTAAATTTCTCGAAAGACTAAGTGATTGCACACAAAAGGTATGTGCAGTAATTTCTACTGCTTCAGTTATCCTATTGTTTGTTAGCAGTTGCTGAATTATCGCTTTTACTATGACTAATAAAGTGCTAGTCAGTTGAAAATCTCCACTATGGAAATCTGCTCTTTTTAATGTAAAATCTATTTGAAAAGCATTTTAAGCTCAATTTATTACAGTTTAGTATCCAGAATTTATTGAACTAACACAGTTTTTATGTTTGAACAAAAATAAGATTCATCTATATTATTTATTTGCCTATAATTTAAAACATTTTTTCTCCTTTTCAGTACAAAGAATTTGAATCATCCGTAAAGAATGCTGCTGACTTAAAAGAATCAACAGAAACAAAAACTTTACAGCTTCAGGTAAGAATACTATGAGTTAGAGTTTCAGGAAAAATATTTGAATAAGATGGCCAGGTAATTGAGGATGAGTGAAACTTAAAATTGTCTTTAGAGCTGTAAGCCAAAAATATATTGTCAAGTGGAAGCATGTTCTATGTTCTACTGTATATGGTTCCAAAAGAGTTAATACTGAGGAGTGCTCTAAGGAGCACCCATTATGATTGTCTTATGGGGCGATCAGCTTAGCATCCACGTCCTCCTCACAGTCACTGTAACTGAGAGTTGCAGACTTGATTCTGTTTCTGTGAACATTAACGGTATAATAATGGCACTGTCAGTGAAAGAAAAGGCACAACCTGATCAAGGTGCCCAATATCAGGAAAAGATGTTCCACAGAGCTACCTGCCTCTTGTAACCCCACTATTTGACCTCATCCCACCATCACTCTTGAGTGGCCTGGACCGTTCATTAATGCTAGCAATCTTCCTGTGTGCATTGCTGACAGCTGCATAACCCTAATAGGCTGATAACTTTGGAGGTAGGGGAGGAATGGTTGAATTTTTGCCCCTGCAGTGGTTTTTTCGAAAAGTGGCAGTGTGTGGTTAACAGATCAACATCCATGTGTCGAATTAAGTGGCAGAAGACTTTTCAGAGATTTACAATTTCAGAGACTTCGTTGTAAATTTATAGTTTAACTCAAATACCAGTTTAAATTTTACCTTCTCTATTCTTTTCTCGTCCAGAAGCCAACCCCACGAGAGAACTCAACTCCTCCTTTATAAATAAACAAAATAACCAGATTAAAAAAACAAAAATTGCCCACCAAGAGTATTGAATCATTTATCAAAAACCAAAAACGGAGGGGGATGTCTGAGGGAGCGGGGTTGGGGAAATTAAATCAAAATAGTGATGGAGTGGGAAATAATGTATCCCAGACCCCGCAGTGGCCACTTTAGGAATCCATCTGTTTTTAAATGCATTTTCTAATAAGCCCATTCAGGTATGTTATTATATATCTCTGAAGCTGGTGGAACTTGAATCAGGGTGTTCTGGCTCAGAGGTTGCCACAGTCCCACTTTGTCCTGCCACAATTCCTCCCTAATAGAAGATATTTATAATCCACCTGTTCAAATGTGTTATGACACAACTGTGGAGCCCGAGGGAACTCAGGACTTCTGGCCCAAAGGTAGGAATGCCACCACAGCATCACAAGAGCACCAACTCTTCTTTTTTTTTCTGAAATAAAGAAGCCCACCCCCAAATTAGCCAATCACTAGTGAACAAATTACAAGCACTGCCCACCAGGGACAGTGTAACAATAATTGAAATTAAAATAGAGGGGAGCTAAAGCATAATAGTGTTGGAGCCCAGCCCCCTCAATGCCTACTTAATAATCCAGTTTTTTTCCCCCAAACATAGCCCAACTTTAGAAACCCCATCCCAATTTATAGATATTGTTACTGAAGATGTGTAATGATACTGTAGATATGTAATGATACACCTCTGGAGCAGTTGGGACTTGAACCTTAGTATAATATCACTGTACCACAAAAACCCTAAATTTTTATTAAAAGAACCCTCTTAATTTGTGTGACTATTGACTTATTCTGTTCTACAAAGATTCATTTCATGTAGATATTTACTAATAGCCCTGCTCAAAGATGTAATTATACAGCTCTGGAGTAGCTGGGACTTAAATCAGACTACCTGATTCAAAGATAGGGATACTACCACTTGTGAATCCAGCTCTTTGTTTTAAACCAACCTGTTCAGACATGTTGTGGTACAGCACTGGTGCAGGTGGGACTTGTGCCCAATTCTTCTAGCCCAGAGGTAGGAACATTATTATTGCATTATTAGAACCCTCAAGAACCCAGCTCTTTAGATATTTTCTAATCAACTTGGCCATAGATGTTGTTGCATACCAGTGATGCCTCTCAATAACTGTTGACCATGTCAACTTTTTCATCACTGATGCAGTTCTTTTCCTTCAGCATAATGTAAGCATTAAACAGCTTTGGTTATGCTTGCCACTACAGTATTCTAAAGCAAATGTTCTGAATTGATCATAATTTGAAGAATATCTCTTAGATTATTTTACATATTTAACATTTTCACACCCTTTTGACTTTTTAATTTTTTTCCTTTGTGTTTCTGTTTTCACAATTTAGCAATTTAATGATTTATTGCCAACTAAATTCCTTTTTCAAGAATCATGTATTTCAGTCCACACCAATAATTATCAAAGAGAAAGATATAAAGTGAGTTGGCAGTGATTAGTTTGTAATTTCAAATATTTGATTAGGAATTCATGTCATGCACTGATTTTTAATATATGGGGATTTTAAAGTAATCGCTCTTCCCTATTGCCATTTTGTAAAATTAATTTTATAACTGTTGGTATGGCTTAGAACAGGCTCAGCTTTGAGTGTTGGATGTTTGTGTGAAGGGAAGAGGAAGATTGTGATTTTGCCACACCGAAAGAAAATCTGATCTGATTAGGGTTTTTAATGTTCTTTGATTCAAGTTTTAAGGTTCTTGTTCTTGACTTCAGGCGGTGGTAAAAGGATGTTGAGATAGCTTTGAGGGCCCAAGATTTTTTTTGGCTGAGCTTTTCTGTACAGGTGAGGTGGTGTTTAGCATCAACTTCATTTGTAAAACTTTTTTTTTAGGACACATATGCCAAATTGGATAAATCAAATGGCAATCTTAGACAAACCGTTGATCAGCTCACACGGGACCTAGAGGAAGAAAAGCAAACGAGATCCCAATGCAGCAATCTGGTATGTAGTAACTGTGCAATTCCACTTTTATTTTAATCCATTGTTAATAGTTATGACTGACTAACAGCTGTATAAAGGTGTTGTCAAATGTGTGAAGAAAGATAGAAGTACAGGTCCTGTGCATTTTTAATTGCAAGTTTATTTCTTGAAGATTACAGAAATCCAAGCAAATTTAACTGCCCTAGAAAATGAAGAACAGAATCTTCAAGTCCAAATTGAAGAGGTAAGGTGTACAACATGTGATTTCATAATGCTGATTTGTTTACAGTGAGGCAGAAACCAACTCAATGTCTCTCTGTATTTTAAGACGACAAATGAATTAAAAGCAATTCAGATTAACAACTCAAAGCATCAGGAATCCTTCCAAACTGCGCAAGAAGAAAATCATCATCTTAAACAAAGCAAAGAACAGGTATAGCTGAAATATTTCTGTCAAATATTTTATATCACCTCCTGCAAAGTATAAAATGTATTTGTTTGATCTTCCATTTTCTCGAGGATGCTTACTGATATAGTGTATAAAAAAACGAAGAGCTATAGCAGTGATAATCTAATGATAATCAACTGGAGTTAAGTTTAACAATAACTAAAATATAGTTTAGTTTGATTTGTTTGATTTTTTTTTTAACCCTTTTTTATGTTGTAATATTTCCATTGTTTTGACCACCTTGCAGCATAAACTGTGTTTTGTACAAAATGAGAACCAATGAAAGATTCTCCAAGCTGCCCACCATCTTGTGCAGCATCTAGTAATTAGGAGATATTGAAGTTCACCTTTGCTAACAGTTTTCTTTCTCCCTTTCTAAAGGATAGTGCCTATCTTCCAATCTCCAGTTTTGATGTGTCCTGATTAAGATTCGGAATTTGGTTTTTGTAATCATGACTATTAACTTGTAGCCTACCAGTTGTATCTTTGAATGTTAAAAATTACCAATGTTTTCTTGCCAGGATTCTTTAATAACAGTATGTCACTGTATATTTTATTTCTTTCTTCATAGGTCAGTTTTTTTTTTAAGCCTTTGTGCAGTTTATTGAGACACGTGCTGGACTTGTGCATCAGGATGCTTGTTTGCTTTTTTGTGTTATATTTTATAACTACATGGTTCACTATATTTGTTATAACTGGGATGCAGGTTCTTGTTGAGATAAGATGTTCTGAATATATTGATTATACCCAAGTATTTAGTGAGTGTCTTACAAGCTGTTCTCATGATTGTGTTCTATAGCTATTGCAAGAATCAGAAGGGTGGGAGGAGCGGTACAGTGAACTTACTGAACAAATTAAATTATGTGAGAAGTCACAGAAGGACATTCGGAGAGTTTTTGCAAGTAAAGAGAATGAGGTGAAGGTAAGGTTTGTTCCTGTGAAATAAAGTAACAATGCAAGTAATTCTTAAAGATATTCATTTCTAATTTTTCTTTATTTAGACTCTGACAAGCTGCCTTCTAAAGATGAAATTATGGAATGTAGCTGAGGAGGAAAGTCCTGCCGAAGGTAATAGTTAGGGCAAAATTGATCTAAAACTGAAAGTGGGGTGCACTCATGTCGTGAATCAGTGAATTAATATCAGGTCTGATTGAAGAGATTGTATCAAAATAGCTAAATCTAGTTGCTAGTGTATTTGAAGATGAATAGGAGCAGGAGAAGATCATGTGGCCCATTCAAGCCTAATCTACCTTTCAGATTTCGGACTTTGACTCTGCCTTCCACTTCACTCCTCATATCCCTTGATTACCTGAGAAATCAATCAGCCTATCTCCAGTTTAAATACTTTCAGTGATGATACATCTGTAACCCTCCGGTTAGAGCATTCCAAAGATTCACAACTTTGGAAAAAATTTCTCCACATCGCAGTAGAAATGTTGGTCCTCTTCTTCTGAAAGTAACCCCATTGTTTTCCTTGTCTGGGGAAATCTAGCACAATATCTCAGTACTTATCTTGTCAAATCCCTTCAGAATCTTGAATACCTCAGTGACATCACCCCTTATTCTAAACTTTAGCGAATATAGATCCAATTTATTCAACTCTCATCACAGGGCAACCGTGTCAATCCAGCAACAAATCAAGTGAACCATTGTTGTACTGTATAAAAGTATACTCTTTCCTAAATATGGAAACTAAAATTGCACACAGAATTCTAGGTGTGGTCTTACCAAAGCCCCATAAAATTGTAACAAAAGTTATTTACTCTTGTACACCAATTTCCTTGCAATATAAGCCATCATGCTATTGCATTCTGGAATATCATGTGCAGTTTTGGTCAACTTATCTGAGGAAGGATGCTCTTGCTATAGAGGGAGTGCAGTGAAGGTTTACCAGATTTATTTCTGGAGTGGCAGCACTGACGTATGGGGAGAGATTGAGATAGTTAGGATTGTATTCACTGGAGTTCAGAAGAATGAGGGAGAAATATCTCGTAAAAATTTATAAAATTCTAACAAGACAATTCTACAAGTTTAGATGCAAGAAGTATGTTCCTGATAATTGGGGAATCCAGAGTTAGAGGTCATAGTTTAAGGATACGGAGTAAACCTTTTAGCACTGAGATGAGGAGAAATTTCTTCACCTAGAGAATAATGAGCCTTTGCAATTCACTACCACTGAAAGTGGTTAAGACCAATACATTTGTGTTTTCAAGACGGTAGATATAGCTAAAGAGACTAAGGGATATGGTGGGAGGACAGGTGGGATTAGGGTATTGAGCTTGATGATCAGCCATGATAGGGCGGCATGGTGGCTCAGTGGTTAGCACTGCTGCCTCACAGCGCCAGATACCCGGGTTCAATTTCAGCCTCGGGCGACCGTCTGTGTGGAGTTTGCACATTCTCCCCCCTCTGCGTGAGTTTCCTCCGGGTGCTCCGGTTTCCTCCCACAGTCCAAAGATGTGTACGGTAGGTGGATTGGCCGTCCTAAATTGCCCTTGGTGCTCAGGGATGTTTAGGTTATGTCGGTTAGACATGGAAAATACAGGGGTAGGAGAATGGGTCTGGGTGGGATGCTCTTCGGAGGGGCGGTGTGTGAATGGCCTGTTTCCACACTGTAAGGATTCTATGATAGTATTGAATGGCAGAGCAGGGTCGAATGGCCTTATCCTGGTCCGATCTTCTATGTTTCTATGCTTCACAATTGCTTGCTATACCTGCATGTACCTTTCGTGAGTACAGACTCAATATTTGTTCAATGTCTGCTATTTCCTTATTCTAATGATAATCTATTCTGTCTCTGCTTTTATGGAACTAGTGTTAACTTTAGCCACTCTCTTTCTTTTTGTATACTTGCAACACTTTTTCTTCTATTTTATATTCCTGGCTAGTTTACTGTTATTCTATTCTTTCTCTTTTTATCAACTTTTCGGTAGCCCTGTACTGATCTCTAAAGCACTCCCAATCTATAGATTTGAGACTAATCCTGCAAAGTTGTTTCTTACTACTTTTAAACGAATGCTGTCATTAATGTCACTCATCAGCATGAATAATACTCTGGGTTTTTGTTTTTCAGTGGAATATATTTTTGTTGAACATTTTGAATTGTTTCTTTTAAGCCTTCCTTACTGTTTATTTGCCACCATACATTTTTAGTTACCAACTTTCTCCTTACAGATTATGGATTTGGCTTTGTGTAAGGTGCTTGTTTATGTTTGGAGCATTTCATTTTCAAACTTAATGTAGAATTTAATTATATTATAATCATTATTTCCTATTGAATCTTTTACTAAACATTACTAACTAATCCTGCCTCACTGTGCAATACTCTATCTCCAATTGTTTTGTCCTTACTTAATTCCAGAATGTATTGTCCCTGAAAACTGTTTCAAGAGCCTTCTACAATTCAATTTTGTCAAATTGATTAGTCCAGTCTTTATGAAGATTAAAGTCCCCGCACTACTTATTACATTGTAACAAAGGCAATCTCCAATGATTTCTTCTTCAGTGCTCTGTTTAATGGTAATACCACTATTAGAGGGCCTATAAATTATGCCCACCCATACTGATTTTACTGAACCAAGATGCTTTTGCATTAAGATCCTTATGCTATCCTTCATTATCAAGGCTAACCTTCCTTTTTGAAATGTTGTGTACCCTGGAACATTTATTTCCCAACCTTTGGCATTGATGTCTTTGCAATGCAAATTAGGTCTAAATAATTTATCTCTGTTTGAGCTGCTAGTTCATCATCTTATTTCTGTGGGCATCCAAACAAAGTGATTTTCTTTTATCAATGAGAGGCAGTATGTCAATACTGAATGGTGAAGATTTCCAACCTTTTGAGCACTGAGCTAGATTCATGTACCATGTGTGGTGAATATATTAGCAAGTAAATTTGGGTCAGTTAAATGAGCAAATTAAATCTGCCAGTTATTTCTATTTGAATGAACTAGGTATTCAGTCCAGTGGAATCAGTGAAAATGGAAGAAAATGGAGCAAAGAGAAAAATTGAGTGAGGAAGAAACTTTTTAGTTTCTGACACAGCCATGGAATTATGGAACATTAGCAAGACTGCATAAGGATGTTATTAAACTGTGTGCCTTCACAAGGTTGCTGTACATCATATGATCTTATCGAAGAATGGCAATTGTTACGGTGCAAAAGGTGGACCATTTGGTCCATCGTGTCTGCAGCAGCTGTCTGAATGAGCATTATGACTTAGTGCCATTCTGTTGCCTTTTCCATATAACCTTGAATGATTTTTCTATTTAAATAATCATCTAATGCTCTCTTTAATACCTCAATCAAACCTGCTCCACCACACTACCAGGCAATGATTCCAGGAACTAACTACTTGCTGTATGAAAATGGTTTCCTGTTGCACACCCCATTTGTTTCTTCTACAAATTATTTTGTATCTGTGCACCCTTGTTCATTACCCTTTTATAAGAGGGAACAGTTTGTCCCTGTCTATTCTAACAAGCACCCTCATGATTCTATAGAATCTCCTCTTGGCCTTCTCTTCAAGGAAAACATTCTCAACTTCTTCATCTGTCTCCATGACTGTTTCTCATTCCTGGGACCTTTTTTACTACCAATGTCGTGTAGTTACATCTTTAATAAAGTGTGGCACCTAAAGACTGTACACAGTGTTCCAGATAAGATCTAACTAGGGTCATGTGCAAGTCCAGCATTAACTCTTCACTTCTGTTCTCTCTGCCCCAGTGCCTAGGAAAAGGTATGTTTTATTGACTGCTCACTGTACTAGTTCTGCAATTTTTCTCTGCTCCTGCACATTCTTTATGGTAGTGTCCTTTTTATAATGTATCTTCATGTTCTTTTTACCAAGATGAATTGCTTCACACTTATCCACGTTGAATTTTATTTGCTACCCACCTATCTATCCAGTCCACCAACTTGTCAATGTTCTTTTGTAGCATTACAGTGTCCTCACAATTCACAATGCTTCCAACTTTTGTATCATCTGCAAACTTGGAATTTGACTTCAGCACATCAAGAGATTATTGATATAAAATGGAAAAAGAAATGGTCCCATAAACCGACCCTTGCAGAACACCACTAAAAACCTTCCTCCAGTCTGAAAAATATCCACTGACCATTACTCTCTCTTCCTTTCCTTCAACCAATTTTGTATCCACGTCACTACTGTCCCTTTATTCCATAAGCTATACCTTTTCTCACAACTCTGTGTAGCACTGTATTGAATACCTTCTGAAAATCCATGTACATCATGTCAACAGCATTACCCTCTTTGAGAACTCCTCAAAAATCTCCAGAATTTCTTTAAACTAATTCTTAGCTGGGAATAATATTGTTAAGAGTGTTCTGACAATTCAGAAATTACCCTGGTACTAAATCCCAGGCCATCCATTGAAAGTAGCTGCTTCTCAAAACATGGGGTAATAATTGTTTAGCAGTTTTACTTCTTTTGTAATGTTATTTGTTTACAGCATCAATGAACAAGTTTGTTTGTTTTAATACAAATGATGCAAATAACTTCGTGAAGTTCAGGTGCTTTCCTACATGTGCCCACGTTTAAGTTATTTTGTAGCAGTGACATTGACTAGAAAAATAGACAGAAGTATTGGAAAATTTTAAACAGGCCACCAAAGTAATGTTTAAAAATCACTTGAGGATTAACTGTGACTTATTTCTTTTTATAAAAAAAAAAAGTCTTGTTACATACAACACAAAAGTTGATCATAAGAAAAAGCTTTAGCACTTTAATAACTTGTATTTAATAACTACTTACCTTGACTCTCCTACTCGCTGCCTCTTCTGCTCACTGCTTTCCTCCTCCTCGCTGACGCTCCCACTTGCTACTTCACTCAACAATGATCTCACATCAGCTTACCATTTCCCTCACTGATCCTTCCTCCGATGTGCTGCATCCCTCTCCAAACCATTGCAAGCAAGGACTTGAGAAATGGATGGCAAAAGCAAGGGTCAGAAAGTGGCACAGGCAGCCAGCAGGGAGATTTGAGTGAAGTGGTGAGTGAGGGAGACGTGGAGGGAAGGAGAGTATACGAAGGCCACAAAATAGGAGGATTGGTGAGCAGATTAAAAGTAGCAAGCCCGTGGGTCAGCGAAAAGCTACAGGAAAGCCACATTCAGGCCGCAGATGGCTCAAGGGACAGGTTCTGAATACTGCTGCTGTCTGGGATGAGGCCATATCATTTTTATCTTTTGAACACTGTCCTAAGTTCTGATTGAAGGATCTGGATAAAATAATCCTGGTTAAGGAGCTTCCCACTAATATATCACACGTTCACTTAATATGTGTGTTTCCAGGGTGATTGGTGTTAACTTTCATGGTTCTTTTATCCTAAGTTTTGGATTCTGATAAGGCCAGCTTCTTTGTCTAAAATATGTCTTCTTTTATGTATATTAGAAATGTCAGAAGAACAACAGAAGGAAAAAATTGAAAAATTGATTTATGTTGCCAAGGTAAGTTAGTTTGCAGTATAATCTCTATGCTATGTTACTTGCTTTCATACTTTCTAATAAGATGTTCCTGGGCAATATTCTATCTTTTTGAAGCTCCACTTAATGTACTTGCTTTGAAATGTGTGATAAGCCTGTTCAGATTTACAGAATACCAACATATCCTAATATTCTTCGTACTACTGGGGAGATGGTGATGCAAGGGGAAAAATGAATACAGCTGGTACTGTTTCTTCAATATACTGTATATAACTGGAGTGCTACTGCCCTGCTGCTTCCATTCAACAAAGGATGATAAAAATACTTGGCATGACAGAGCTTCTTCTTTGTCCCTAATTAATTTATAAAGTATTTTTAATATAAATGAATCATCCTAGATGCATCATAGAGCCATGCTTTGCCACAAATGGAAGAAGAGTGAAATCTTGTGGAGGTGTAGAGGGTCTTAACCACTGGCTGGAACCCTGAAGCACAACTTTTCAGGAAGTCTTGCCATATCTTGTTCTGCTCAGGCACTTGATAGGCCAGCAGCAGGCTGCACTCAGAATCAGGAGTAAGTGGAGAATGACCTGTCTGCCAAGAGCAGCAAGCCAATCAACAGCAATGCTTTTCCCCACCCTCCCCACCCAAACTCCCATGTTCAGTCCTGTGATCAGAAGTTGAATGCCTTTCAAAGTAGCCTCTCCATAAGCCTGTAAGCTACCCTGTATGAGTTTACTTGAAGTAGCCACCATTAATTGCCCGCTGGGAATTATCACTGGACTATTAATCCAGAGACCCAGGTTCGAATTTTGCCATGGCAGATAGTGGAGTTTGAATTCAATGAACATCGGGAATTAAGAGTCTAATGATGACCGTGAATCCATTGTTGGGATTTTTGGAAAAACCCATCTGGTTCATGAATGTCCTTTAGGGAAGGAAACTGCCATTTTTATGTGGTCTGGCCTACATGTGAATCCAGACCCACAGCAATGTGGTTGACTCTGAAATACCCTCTGGGCAATTAAGGATAGGCAGTAAATTCTGGCCTAGCCAGAGATGCCCAGATCCTGTCAATGAATTAAAAAAAAACTTAATGACCTCAGTAGCGCAGCACAGAGAAGCTATCCATGGGCCTTATCACCGCAGCCTTGATTAGGGTGAAAGTGGAAAGGTGGCAGGGGGTCCAACTGCCAGTCTTCTGCCAATAAGCTGTTGAGGCTAGGTCAATTGGAAATTTCAAAACAGATTACTATATATTTGTAAGGTGCTAAAGAAATGGAGTGAAGGCTGATAAATGGAGTTCAGATACTGTTCAGATAGATCTCCATCAGATAGTGATGGAACAAGGTTGAGACTTATTTCCACTCTTATTTTCTTAGCATTGTCTTTCAAATTACGCTTCATTGTACAATCAACAAGTGGTAACACAATGGTTAAATTCCTTCTTGTTGAAGATGGTCATTGCCTGGCAGTTACCTGATAATGATTAGTAACATTCGTACCACACAAGCACCAGGTAATGGCCCTCTCCAACAAAAGAAAATCTATAAACTTTTGCCCGGGTCAAAGTGCCATTGACCATAAACTTTACCGGACCCATCGTATAAATACTGTGGTTTCAAAAGTATATCAGTGTCAGGGAATCCTTAAGTTAGTCAGTCACCACCTGACTGTCCAAAATCTATCCACCATCTGCAAGGCACAAGTCGTGAATGTGGTGGAATTCTCTTCAACTGCCTTGAGGAGTAAAGCTCCAGCAATGCTCAAAAAAAGCACACACCATTTGAAACAAAGCAGCCCGCTTGATTGGCACCCATTAAACGTCAAACTTCTTAAACTTCACTCCGTCCACCACCAATGCAGTGTTGCAGCAGTGTGTACTATCTACAAGATGAACTCACCAAGGCTCCTTTAACTGTGCCTTCAAAACATGTGCTCTTGACCACCCAGAAGATCAAGGGCAGAAGAAGCATGTGGAATTCATCAACTGTAAGCTTCCCTTCCACATACCATCCTGATTTGGAAATATGTCACCATTTTTCCTCCACAGTCGCTGTATCAAAAACCTAATAATACTGTGGCATATCTGATCTGACAAAGTGATGTCTGATCATCATCTGAACATGGACAGTTGGGGATGGGCAACAAATACTAGCCTTTATGGTCTCACTGTCATTCCAAGAATGAATAGAAAAAGTATGCATAGAATAATTGATTGATCCAACACTGGAGACCGCAATTCAGCTGTTATGCCTCTGAGAATGAGAAATGTCTGTACATAATTTGCTGATAGCTATTTGCCAGAAATTAGCCACTTAAAATAAAAACTTTAAAACTCCATTGTCACGATGTGATGTTTGTCATTATTGTTTATAAATCCTTTTAAATTTCTTTTAGTTAAATGCTGGTTTGAAATCAGCAGAAGATGAAAGAAATCAGATTTACAGCAAGTTATCTGATGAAATCAAAGCAAAGCAAGAGCTAATGGGTAAATACAAGAATCTGAAACGTTCATATGTTCATTGTAGCATATTGCTATATCATGAGTCTGTTTTTAAAAAGCAAAACAGCTTTTTGGAACAATTGCATCAGTACATGGTTGGAAAGTTCCATTCCAGTGTTCGTTTTTCTTTGAAGAATTTTCTTAAGCAATTTTTTTATTTCCTTACAACCAGTTTGAGGTTCTCCCTCTTCAAGGTTTACCTTTCATTAAATCTCCAGATTTACAATTTCTACTTTTGCTGTCTTGTAAATACAGTCCTGAAATTCAGCTATTTAGCAATTGAGACTCCATTGACTGATAAACAAGCCTGCCTATAGAAAGCCTGGCTAAAAATGCTGTGCCCAAAAGAGAGACATCATAGTTACTAATGTAACCCCACTGTTCAAGAAGAGAGAGGAGCATGTACTGTAGAGCAGCTAATCTGAACTTCTGGAATACGTAGTTTAAATCAAACAAAAAAATTTAGAAATGCTTGGGATAATGAAACATTGCATTTTTTGAATCAAATGCAAAATAATGTGAATGTTTAAAATCTGAAACAAAAACAGAAGATGCTGGAAAACATTTGGGGAGCACAAAATTTCTTCCCCACAGACATTATCTGATCTGCTAAGTATTTTCCTGCATTTTCTGGACTTGTTGTATTTAATATTTAACAAACTTTAGTTTATATTGTAAGTCATATTTACCAAATTTTACATAATATTATCAAGCAGTTATTGGTTAGGTCTGTAAAGGGGAATAATTGTGTTGGTATGAATCTTTGACATTTGACAGGGCGTTTGACAAGGCTGAGTATGGATAGAAAATGTTCAGCTGATAAGGAACTGAGGGTTAACGTTGATGGCTGTTGCTCATCTAAGACCATTTCTACTTTTCTGTAATATATATATAGCATAAATTTGACAGCACAAAGTTTCGATGTTGTAAATGATTTCAGGACACGATAGGTAGATAGTAGATGCAATTTACTGCAGAGACATGTGAGGTTCTTGTTTTGGGAGGAAACGCATGGAATAGACTCTAACAATAAGATATAGGAGCAGAATTAGCTTTTTGGCCCATTGTGTCTGCTCTGCTTTTCAATCATGGCTGCTGTGTTTCTCAGTCCCATTCTCCTCTTTTCTCCCTGTAACCTTTGATCCTCCTACAAATCAAGAGTTTATCTATCTTTCTCAAATATACTCAATGACTTGGCCTTCAGCCTTCTACAGCAATGAGTTCCACAGATTTACCATCCTCTGGTTGAAGAAATTCTTTCTCATCTTAATTCTAAATAGTTGTCCCTTCACTGACGCTGTGCCCTTGGATTCTAGTCTCTCCTAATAATGGAAACACCTTCTCCACATCCACTCTATCCAGTATTCTGTAAGTTTCAATGGGATCTCCCCTCATCCTTCTAAACTCTATCAAATATTGACCCAGAGTCCTCAACCTCTCCTCATATCATAAGCCCTTTATAACTGGGATTGTTCTTATGAACCTTCTTTGGACCCCCTCTAATGCCAGCACGCCAGCAGGGCACAAAACTGCTCACAGCATTCCAAATGCAGGCTGATCTGATCTGAGCCTTGTACAACCTCAGCAGTACATCCCTGCTCCTGCATTCAGGCCCTCTCAAAGTTAATGTTAACATTGTATTTGTTTTCCTAACTACTGTTGAACCTACATATTAACCTTAAGACAGTCCTGAACTAGGACTCCCAAGTTCCTTTGGTCTTCAGATTTCGAAAGCCTTTCTCCATTTCAAAAATAGTCTACGCCTCTGTTCTTCCTACCAAAGTGCATATCCTCACAGTTTCTCAAAACTGATCTCGGTGGAACTCCACTAGTCACTGGCTGCCATCCTGAAAAACACTCCTTTATCTTTACTCTCTGCCTTCTGCCGGTCACCTAATCCTTTATCCACGTCAGTGCCTTGCCCCTACCACCACAGGCTCTTATGCTATTTTGCAGCCTCCTATAAGGCACCTTATCAAAGCTTTCTGGAAATTCAAATAGATCACGTCCACTGGCTCTCCTTTGTCTAACTTGCTTGTTCAGTCAAAGAATTCTTACAGATTTGTCAGGCATGATCTCCCTTTGACAAAACCATGCTGACTCGGCCCTGTTTTACCATGCAGTTCCGAGTACTCCGCAATCTTATCCTCAGTAATAGACTCTCCAATCTTACTAATGATTGAGATCAGGCTAATCGGCCTATAATCTGCCATCTTCTTCTCCCTCACTTCTTAAACAGGGGTGCTACATTAGCCATTTTTCAGTTCTCTGGGACCCTCCCTGACTCCAGTGATCCCTGAAAGGCAGAAACACTTTTCAGAAAAAATAATGAAAATTGTGAGGGACAGAGAAATGATTTGAGTAGCCATAAAAGCCAATAGCATTTTGAGTTTTATAATTGTAGACCTAGACTGCAGAAGTGAAGAAGTAATAAGTTCAGTCATTGGTTATTGTGCTATTAAACTGTTCTGTGCCTTATTGGAAGGACTTTAGAGCAAGTGACAGTGTACAGTGAAGATTATAAGACCAGGAGTGAGGAGAAACTTGATGGACTGAAACAGTTTCCCTGTTTCTAGGAAGAGATTTAATTGAACTACTTAAAATAAAGAAGGTTTGTGTTATGGTGACTGAGAAAGTATTGTTTTCTACAAGTGGAGAATCAATGATGTGAGTCACTATTTTAAATTTGTTTCTAATTTGGGAAAAATTAGAAGAAAATTCTAAGTTAAGAATTATTGGAGCATATAACGTTTACCACAGGTAATAGTTGAGGCAGAAACCTGTGTGTTTTAAGGGAGAAGTGGTTAAACACGTGAAGCATGGATAGAATCCAAAGACAGTTGGATTATTCTTGTTGTAGTGAAGAGGCAGTGAATGGCCTGCTTCAGGGATGTAATATGTTATGGTTCTCTGGTTCTTCTGCCACGGTAAACATTTCTTCCATATGTAATTGTCTGCAACCAGTTTCACTTGGAAGTCATGTACTCAAATTGATTTACTGTCCCTTTGCTGGCAGTCTTTCTGCACATTTCCTAAATTACAGTTCCATAATTCTCCTAAAAATTCTCATTTATGACCATCTTGTGGTATGGAAGTTGTCAAACAAATTACAACTGAACTTACAATGTAATCAGGAAGCTTTTTCTTTCCATTTGGCAGAGCGAATTGAAAAACTTCGATTAGAGCAGACTTCTGTACAAAATGAGACAACTCAGTTTGAGACTGAATACAAGACCATTCAGCAGAAGTTAAAGATCATGACAGAATTATACCATGAGAAAGAAATGGAGCTTCAAAGGTACAAAGCATGATTCAGGTAGAATTTAAATGAAAATGAATTGTGTAGGAATATAATTATTTTTGAGTATCAATTAGTTTCAGAAAATTTGGTTGTGTTTAGTAATATGATACTGATTTTGATGCTTACACTTGGTACTGATCTTCTCTTTGAGAAGAGAGGAGGAATAAGGTGAAAGCCAAAGCGTTTCTTAATGTGAGGGAAAAACGTGAAGAAACATTGCTTTGCATTCACAAGCACGTATGTTCAACAACAATAGTTATGGTCTGATGTAAGTTTTCATTCATGTGATGAGATCATGTATGGTCCATTGAGGTGTGGAAAATAAGGAAATGCTGATTAAAAATGGAAGATAATCAAGTTATTCTTCAACAATTTATGTTTGAATTTTGTATTCAAGAGAACACAAGTCCAATTGTAATCAGTGTTTTCTAGCTCATTATGATTTAGGAGATAATATTCAATCTGTAAAATTCACTGTTTTTCATCAACTAAATACCCTGATGTTGGCTGGTTAGAGTTGATAGTTAGAGACACAATTTCCTTACAACTAATATAATCCTTTTCAGAAACTGAAAATCCCCAATGAAAATTCCTAAATCAATAAGTTTCAAAGTATTAACTCAGCTACTGATTAACACTAAGCCATCACCTTGTGAGGCATTCATAATTGTTTTTATTCTTAAATGAACTGGGTAGAAGGTTGTAAGGCTGCAAATAATTTCTTGTGATTGTTCTGGGTTGCATTGTACATAGAAATCTGACATTAGAGGAGCATCAGCGCCTACAGAAGGAAGAGAAGCTTTCTGAAGTTGATGAAAAGATTAATCAAGCGACTGAGGAGCTCGGTATTTATAGGTAACTGGAATTTTCAGTTGTTACTTAATATCTCGTTACTTTTGTTTCCAATACCATTACAGTTCTTGCTTTCTTTGCAGGCAACGTGCTAAAGATCTTGAAGAAGAATTAGTTAAAACTATAGAGTCGTATAAAAATCAAGTATGTAAAAGAAATTATTGTTTACTCAGTTTTCATTAGTTTCAGTAATTTTTTTTAAATCTTCTACTATAATGTACCAATCGTAAGATTACCTGCTTCTAAAGCCCTCAGTACATATTCATCAGATGCAGGCTCAATTATCTCAGTGTTCTTCTGGCTGGCATCCCATTCTGCATTCTTTATAATTCCAGTTCATCCAAAAGCCTGCTGGCTATATCCTGTATTGCACAAAGGGATAGATTCTTGGCTTATGCCAAAGCTGGAGCAAGAGGCTGAAGTGCTACTTCTCAGCCTCTTGTTTGTTTTTGCTGAGATTGGATCAGGTGATTGGCTGGCTGCCTGTTGGTAGCCCAGCAATCATTAAAAACCACAAGATCATTTGGAATATTGCCTCAGATGACAAATGCCAGTTTAAGTAGTATTGCCAGGTACCAATATTCCAGGCAAACCTTCAAACTCTTTCTGTAGACGAAGAGAGAGCCTTTCCTTCCATCTCCACAATGATAGTCCGACTGGTAAAAGCCAATTTTAATTTAAGGTTTTTAAAGATTGGAGAGAAATGCCACCATTCTGAAGTGCCTTCTGTTTTACTTATCTTCTATGGTCGCTTGCTGTTCCATTCAAGCTTAAAGGCCTGTAATTGCTCTCCATCTTTGAGACCTCCTAAGGTCAGCAAACCCATGAAGGTCTTGGTGAGTGAATCCACACTCTCCACCTCCACCGCACTTCACAGGGTCCTGATGTCTGTTTCTCGTCCTTGCAGGGAATATTCAGCTCAAGTCTTGATTATCCATTATGCTAGTGCTCACTGACTTGTTTAAAACCTGTTCTGGTTTTGCATTCTCTAGATCTGTAACATTTTCCAACTTCATGTGAACTCTCTGTTCCGCCAACTCTGATCACATGCATCCTCCTTTCACCAACCCAATCCTCCTGACTCTACATCCCATTCAGCCCACGTCATCAGTCATTTTGTACCTATTCAGTATAACTTAGTATCAGATTCTCTACGCCTTTCCACCTTTCCTCCATTGACACACTTTAAACCACACATTCCCTTCCATTCCACCCCAATATTCATTCTTTGGCTTGATATTGACTTCTGAGAGATATTTCAGATACTTTTTTTCAATGTTTAAAGTGCTATATTAATGTGAATTGTTGCATTAAAAATGTACATTAATTTGCCATTATCAAAAACAAAGACATAATAGCCAGTGTTTTGCTTGTAAATTGAAGTTAATGAAACATGATCTGTCAATGGATACAATCATGTTCTCAGATACTTGAAAATAGGGCTTCATTATTTTGTTGAACAGACTTCAATTAAACAATTTTATTTGCGTTTACAGATTGTATCTCATGAGAAAAAAGCACATGATAATTGGGTGAGTTTTAGACGTAAGATGCGATACTGTATGTTTAAGTTTCTGATCTATCAGTTTATCCTATACAATTAAAATATTTTGCATAAGTTGTAAACTGACTTGTGACATCTTGGAGATAGTCAGAACTGCCTATGTGGAGTCAGAGATAACACCGTGTGGAGCTGGAGGAACACAGCAGGCCAGCCAGCATCAGAGGAGCAGGAAAGCTGACGTTTTGGGTCCGGACCCTTTTTCAGAAATTGGGGAGGGGGAAGGGGGCTCTGAAATAAATAGAGAGGGGAAGGATGAGCTGGGGAAGGTAAGTGGGATGGCGATAGGTGAGTGCAGGTAGGCAGTGGTGGGGAGTGGTCAGTGAGGTGGGAGGAGCAGATAGGTGGGAGAGAAGACGGACAGGTCAAGGAGGCGGGATGAGAGGGAGGGTTGGTCATGGGATGAGGCCGGGGGTGGGGAGATTTTGAAACTGGTCAAGTCCATAATGAGACCATTGGGTTGTAGCCTCCCAAGGCGGAATATGAGGTGCTGCTCCTCCAGTTTCGGATGGCGTCGTTGTGACACTGGAGGAGGCCCAGGATGGACATGTTGTCCAGGAAGTTGGAGGGGGAGTTGAAGTGGTTCGCGACTGGAAGGTATTGTCATTTGTCGCGAACCAAGTGCAGGTGCTGTACAAAGTTGTCTCTGAGCCTTCGCTTGGCCTCACCGATGTAGAGGAGGCCACGTCAGGAGCAGCGGACACAGTAGACCACATTAGCAAATGTGCAGGTGAACATCTGTCTGATGTGGAAGGTTTTTTTGGGTCCTGGGAAGGAGGTGAGGGGGGGGGAGGTGTAGGGGCAGGTGTAGCACTTCCTGCGGTTGCAGGAAAAGGTGCCGGGGGTGGTGGGGCTAGTGGGGAGTGTGGAGCTGACGAGGGAGTTGCGGAGAGAGAGGTCCCTACGGAAGGCATATAGGGGTGGGGAGGGAAATATATCCTTCGTTGTGGGCTCAGATTGTAGGTGGTGGAAGTGGCGGAGAATGATGCATTGATTCCGGAGGTTAGTGGGGTGATACGTGAGGACAAGCGGGATTCTGTCTTTGTTTTTGTTGCAGGGATGGGGTGTGAGGGCAGAGGTGCGGGAAACGCAAGAGACGCAGTCGAGAGCGTTCACAAGAAATGTTACCGCCGCTTCTGACGTGGCCTCCTCTAGGTCGGTGAGACCAAGTGGAGGCTCGGAGACCTCTTTGCAGAGCACCTGCGCTCGGTTCACGACAAATGACAACAGTCGTGAACCACTTCAACTCCAGTGTCACAATGACGCCATCCCGAAACTGGAGGAGCAGCACCTCATATTCCGCCTTGGGAGCCTACAACCCAATGGTCTCACTGTGGACTTGACCAGTTTCAAAATCTCCCCACCCCCGGCCTCATCCCATGACCAACCCTCCCTCCCAGCCCCGCATCCTTGACCTGTCCGTCTTCTCTCCCACCTATCCACTCCTCCCACCTCACTGACCGATCCCCATTACTGCCTACCTGCACTCAGCTATCACCATCCCACCTACCTTCCCCAGCCCCAACTCTCCTTTCTCTATTTGTGACATCTTGGGTTTGTAAAAGGTGTTGGATCAGTGCAAGTTTCTTTCTTTTGTTCTTTCTTTCCAGCTGTCACATTTTTTTAGTCCCACATTTCTCCAAGCATAACTATCGTAACTGAATATCAATATTTATCATTTAATTTTCCTATCTCAACTGTCGCAGAGTAGTTGGTAGCTGTGTAGTAGATGTCTTTGCAGTACATTCTTGAAATTCCTTTCCTTTTCTACCACTGTCTTATAAAGGAAAAAAAATTAAATTCATCAACTGATCATTGGACAAGTTATACATATTTAGAAAATATTCAGTTGCCTATAAGTGTACGAGTGAACCGGAAAGGTTTCATGACAATCAATAATCACTGAGGCTAAATCCAGATTTATTGATTAAATTCAAATTCCACCAGTTGCCAAGGTAGGATTTGAATCTGTGCCTTTGGATTATTAATCCAATGACTTTACCACATACTGTTACCTCTGAGAATTATTATAGCTATTCTGTATTAAAGTGATTTCATCTATGACCCATTCTAGGAATCTAGTTAACACATGTTCTGTGATTTTGTTTTGGTTGCTACTACATAATATTTCTCATTTAAAAATATGAAATTATTGGTGGAAAGTTGCATGCTTATGAAATTAAGTTACTTAACAGGCTTATCTAGTTTGGTCAGTGAGGCCCATATCCCATTGAAAAGTAGAGAATTATAAATGCTAATGTTTACATTATCAACTTTTAGAAGAAATATTTTTATTTGTAGCTGTCCGCTCGTGAAGCAGATCGAGAGCTTGGCAATATTAAAAGAGAGAATATTCACCTTCGGCAAAAGTAAGTTTCTATCTGTTCCAAAATATTTCAATATGATCCAAAATGAGTTTTTTTTATACTCTTTGTACATAATAGCAATATTTGTCTACTATTTATGAAGATTGCTATCTCAAGCTCAAATGAGATTTGTTTCAATAAATACATTTTTAAATGTTGCTGTTTTTAAAAAAAACTTAGTATAGATTTCAACTGCAGGTACTTTCAACGTTATAACCGATATGGATACAAACACATCTGTTGTTTGGAAGGGAATATGCATGATGATAGGAACTGTCTACAATATTTCAAAGTTTATTGTCTCAGAGATTACCTTCAGAATTGCCTTCAGCATTCATGGTTTTTCTTCGTTTGGTGGGTAGAGGATATGGAAACTGATTCCATCAATGAAAATATTTTTTTCCCTAAACGTTTAGATCTGTGAAAGTATATCTCAAGATTCTCCTTCCTAAGTCAGTTATACTTCATACAGTCAGAAAATGAAACTGCACTTCCAGGATTTTTCCAGCAAGCTTCTTAACCCAGCTGTCAGCTGAAATTGATTAGAAACTTGCACTGAATAGGAAATCACCAGAGTGTAATTATCCCCAGGCCAACCAATTAATGGTCAGTAGTAGGGCTCACTGATCAATTAAAGACAGTGATCAGGTTCTTGAGATTGAAGGACTATTGAGAGGTCCTTTGGCTTGAAAGGAACTGCAGACTACAATGCAGGCAAATAAGGGAAAGAGCACTTGAAAATGGAGGTGCCCTCTCTGCAACTTCTTAAATTTAAAGTAACTTCTATTTTTGCAGCCAGGCAATCGCTGAGAGGTACGGGGCAGTCTGTAGCTACTGCATCATTAGAGAACCCCTTACCTGCTACTAGGTGACTGACTCCAAGTGGTTCAACTGACCCTTGCCACCTGCAGAAACCTGGAGATCAACTTGAAAATAGTTTGATCACATTATACTTGTTTGCAAGCTGTATTTTGCCAGTTATTTTTAAGAAAGAAACATATATTTTGAATTTTCTCCATAATCCTAAATATTGAAAAGGTTTGTACATTCATCCATCCCTTTTTACAATTTTGGTGTACTCACTTGATGCACTATTCATACTTCTCCTGGCTGTGGTTCATATTGCTGCTGATTGTATTGCATTACTTATAGCTGACCATACTCTTGAAAAATCCTTAAATAATATGTTGCCAAAATAAAACTGTTCTGCACAAAGTGTTTGCTCCCGTGTTGCCACAACAGAGACTATCATAAACATTGGATACAGTACTTCCTGATACTTAAATAGGAGTTCTGTTCTTGTAACGAAGGAAAATGTCCCCAGTTTTTGGTAACTTCTCACACAGGAAGTTAGTAATTAAAATTAGAGTGATTGAGAATTAGTTGACAGACAGAAAGCAGAAAGTAGTAATAAAGAGATCATTCTTAGAATATTATTATTGGGGGACCAAAATGGCCAATGCTAGACCCACTACTGTTCACAATCTACATGATTTGGATGTGGGGACCAATTGTAATATTTCCAGATTTCCTGATGACACCAGATGTGTGGGAATGAAAGATTTGAAGAGGATGCAAAGGGGCTTCAAGAGGATTTGGATGGACTTAGTGAATACACTAGAATATGGCAGAGGGAATATGATGTAAATAAGTATGAAGTTATTCACTTGATAGAGAAAACAAAGAGAATATTTCTTAAATGGCAAGAGTTTGGGAAGTGCCAAGTCTAAAGGGACCTGGATGTCTTTGTCCATAAGTCACTAAAAGCTAGTGGGCAGGTGTAGCAAGCAATTAGGCAGACTGTGTGTTTCCATTCATTTCAGGGGATTTGATTACAGATATAAAATGTCCTGTTGCAGTTGCATAGAGCCTTGGTGAGACCTCACTTGGAATATTATGTGCAATTTTGGACTCCTTATCTAAGGAAGGATGTACCTGGCCATGGCTTGACTGGTGAATCTAGAATAGGGGATGTAATCTCAGTTTAAGGGCCAGGCCGTTTAAGACAGATGAGAAATGTCTTCACTCAAAGTGGTCAATTTTAGAATTCTTTACCTCGAGGGCTGTGGAATCAAAATCATTGAGCATATTCAAATCAGAAATTGATAGGTTTCTGGAGACTAAAGACATGAAGGGATGTAGAGATAATGTGGGAATCTTTAGGTAAAAGACCTGTCTTGACCTAATTGGATGGTGAGGCAGCTATGATGGGCTGAATAGTCTATTCCTTTTCTTGTGTTCTGAAAGTAGTACTTGGAGATAACCCCCCACCGACCCCACAGTTAATGCAGAAATGTGACCCAACTGATCTGTGCAAGAGTTCATGCTCTGCACAAGCATCTTCCCATCTTACTACTAATAATATATCAGGGTATCTCTTGCTTAGCTTCCCTTCCATCTTGTGTTTATGTAGCCTGCCTTTAATATATTTGTTATTGATTTTCCCCAATTTTCACAAAATAACAAGTTCCACATTATCACTATTCTGTAATTTTCTTAGTAACTAGTTTATATTTATGAGAGGTTAATTTTGAAATTCTGCACAAGTGAAAACATCTTCTCTATCTTGTTTAATTCATTGTAATTTTAAAATTTTCTATTATGTCACCACTTTGCCTTCTTTATACAGATGAAGAGAGACTTGGCCTGTTCAGTCATTTCTGATCGTGATTCCCCCCATTTTAGTTTCATCGTGATTCTTTTGTATTTATGCCCTGCCAAGGGGAAGTTCTGCAGAAAGCATTATTTACAGGTTCTAGAATATTAAACATGGTCGTCAGATGGTGATTGGAATTGCTTGCAATTCAGTGGAAATTATTGCAGAATCTAAAACCCTTCATTGGGGTCTGCATTTAATATCCGCAATCCTGTTGATGGTGATATAGTAAAAATGATGAAGGGTTGTATAAAGAAAAGGATTGACTTTACAATAGGATAAGAAGTTATCTCTTGGAGACTTGTGGCACAGTGGCAGTCTTACTTCTGGGCCGGAAGATCCAGGTTCAAGCCCCACTGTCCTAGATGTGTATGTTAACATGTTCAAACAGGTTGATTCGAATAACTAAAGCTCTATCCTGTGTAAACTTTAGGGTAAAGTATGTCTTCATTTTACAGGATAACTGAAGCGGAACTCAAAATGGACATAGCATTGAAGGGTCCACTTGTCAATGATATATCTGGAAGACCAGCATCATTAAGTTCGTCAACACTTGTCCCACCTTACAGAGGTACTGAGCTTCTTAATATCTTTTTTAGGACATAACGAGCATTACAAATTAGGAGAAGTTCAAAGCTGATCTAAATGTGGTCTCAACTCAACTTTCCTACATTTCCGATTAATATTTTGAGTCATTACTCATAATCTGCCTTTAAAAATATTCAGCAACCCTGACTCCACTGCTTTCAGAAGAGAAATCCAAAGTCTTATGACTCAGAGAAAAATATTCTCATATCTTTCAAATTAACAGTAACTTACACTCCCCCACACAAACACACACAGTGTGTAAATGTGAAGGAGAGTGAGCATGTGTGTAAGGTAGAGGAGAATGACTAGGGAAGGGTGCAAGGGAGAGGGATGAGTGGATGGGCACAAGGGTAATGAGCGCGGGTGAATGGTGCGTAAGGGTGAGGTATCAGAGCATAGGTGGTAAGTATGAGGGCGTTGAGCGAGGATAGGGACAAAAGCGGGGCAAGAGAGACTGTCAACAAAGAAGAAGCTTGTAAATGCTTAGCTGGGAGAATGTGGGAGTGCATTGATGTGATAGAGAGTAGGGGAGGCAGGGCCATTGAATACTCTTAAGGTTTATACATTTAGACAGATTATTGATTGGTGTACTGAAGGTAGACAGAAAAATGGACTTGAAGCCTCAATCAGATGGGCCACAGTCTTATCATGTAGCAGAGTAGGCTGAAAGGGCTGAATGGCCTTCATTGGGGTCTGCATTTAATATCCACAATCCTGTTGATGGTGTTATAGTAAAAATGATGAAGGATTGTATAAAGAAAAGGATCGACTTTCCAATAGGATAAGAAGTTATCTCTTGGAGTCTTGTGGCACAGTGGCAGTCTTACTTCTGGGCCGGAAGATCCAGGTTCAAGCCCCAGCCTACTGCTGTTCCTAATTTGTATATTCTTCAGATGTATATTCAAGAGACTTTACTTCTCTGAGTTAGTTTATTTATTACACTTCTGATTTGTCTAAGTTTTAATTAAAAACAAAACTTTTTTGATTTCATGAATGGAAATTAGCAGTGTTTAGTACTTTGCATATTGCATTGCAGGAAGTTCTCCATATGGCTGTTCTCCAGTGGGTCGACCTGGCTCTGATTCCGTGGGTTTTCTGTCACCTCCTTTGGTAGATGGACCCTTAAGGTTTTCACCTTTGTTTCCTGGAAGACCAGATTTCAAAAGTAATATTCTCTATCATAATAGTTTAGACGAAGTACTGAGCAGACAGATTGTGTGATTTTTTTTTTTTTTTTTTGTTAGCTTTCTGAATAGTAATGTAAACGTACGAGTGCTCTCGAGTGAGAAAAGTTGTAAGGAAATTGCTTTGGAATGCAGACTAATTTACAAAATGGAATTCTATAGTGTGTAATGTTTATTTGTTAAGAATTATTAACCACAATATCTAAAATGTATTCTAATTCATTTTGGTGTATTCTTTTGTCTATGGCACAAGGTCCATCAGTTCATGCCTCAAATGAAAATACAGATTCGGTCTCTGACCAATTGTCTGATCATCATGGTCAGCAGTCTGATAGTGGTTCGTTGTCCCCTGTGTGGGAAAGAGAACGGAAGCTCTTGGAGATATCATCAGGTATATAAGGATCTTTTTATAAAGGACTTAGTTCTACAATAGATCTAATCGGAAGTATATTTAATTTTAGATGGATTGGAATGACTTAATATTTCTTAGTAAATCTTATTCTCTGAATACTACTTAAAGAATCAAGATTTTGAAGAAAATCTTTGATTATGTGCAATGTACTACTACATGCAATTTCATTACACTGGTGTGATTCTAAAACATCAGGCATCAAACAAAGGTTATATATATTCTGGAAGTTTTACGTGAATCAGTAGAATTATACACTTACACGAGATCTTTCCTAGTTGTAAAATAATACTGAAGCTATCATTTTAGTATAACACAAATGAATTGGGAAAATAAAGCAAATTGTAAACATGCTTGAGAAATTTGTGGGCAGAAAATATAATTATGATTGAAATCAGTCAAAATCCAAAAACTGATAATCATTAATATCCAATTAAGCACTTTTAAAATTAAGTTTAAATAGACCTAAACAATTACTTTAACAAACATATTCATAACGATGAAATAAAAACAAAGTACTGTGGATGCTGGAGATTTGAAATAAGAACTGACAGTGCTGGAGGAACTCGGCATGTCTGTCAGCATCTCTGGAGAGAAGAAACTGAGTTAACATTTCGAGCCCAAAATGACACTTCAGTTCTGACTTTTTATAACTTCTTTGTATTGGACTTGCAGTGTTAACTTTTTGTTTTTTCTTCTCTCTGCAAATGTTGCAAAATCTGAGTTTTGCTGGCATTTTCTGTTTTTATTTCAGACTTCCAGTATCTGCAGTATTTTGCTTTTATTATGGTGTCAGAGCAAGTTGGCTGAAAAATGCACACATTACAAAGTCCAAATATCAGTCAAAGAAGATGTACATTAAATTTATAATCTGGTTTACAAATTTTTCAGTTTTTAACATGTAAAATACTAAATCTGATTTTGGTTTTTGTGCATACATTCAGTTTCTAAATTTAATCTTTCAATTACATTTGTTTATTTTGGGATGAAGATAATCATATCTATAGGATTCTTCTTTAGATTTTCATTATTTGGCAAGGGGTTCAGTTGGGTCACTCCTTAATCATTTCACTAAATCTCTTAAATGACAAGTTAATTTCTACCAGTCACATGGCTTGACTTGCTTTGATCATTCCATATCATGTTTTATCAAAGTTGGTGGGTAATTATAAATTGCTGTACTGCTACACAAGGTGCTGAATGTATTTTCTGTCTCTCCATACGTATGTTCGCAGTGTTTACAATTTAGTAATTTCTCTTATTATTAAAGAGAAATAAATAACAATAATAAGGAAGAGTAGAAAATCAATGAGGATACCATTGCATTTGTAATTGTCCTGACAAATGATAAAACTTAATTTACGAATAACTTCATTACAACTTTGTTTTGAACAGGTGAATGCCCGATGCTAGAAAGTGGCATGGAAATTTCAAATTCTGCTCCAGGGAATCAGACCCAAGTCCATGCAAGTCTACTTCATTTGTTATTGCTGTCATTCTGTTTATGCTCTTCTCTCCCCATTGCTTCTTACCTTTTAAAAGTCACCGAGAACACACACCATGTATTCAACCGAGAAAATCACTAGTTCCAGCAAGCTTTCTATTTTTACTTGATTACACAGCTCATTTTACTTCATTGCAAGATTTATTATTATACATTAAACAATGGTGATCTTTTCTGCAGGGTACATCAAATATATCTATAAATCAAACCTTTTCTACTGAAGCTGGCTTTGGGATTAGACCTGGTTTTGCTTCTGCCTCTGCTAAGCAAATACCTTCCTTACCTTTTGATCCACGAGGTCATTTCCTGCACAGGGGAATTCCACTTCGTCCACGTAGCGGAATCTACGGTCTTCCAGAACGCATCCCTCTAAGAGCTTTTGGTTTACCACCTCATCCTCCCATGGGAAGTAAGTATACTCATCTGTTTATCCATTTGGTGACAGTATAAAGTAGGGTTATTGAAAACATTCATCTCAGGTGCTGAAAAATCATCTAAAAGCAGAAGAACTATCTCTAGATGATTGTATCAGGTGAGATTTGTTTGGTTTGGGAACATGGTTGGCGTGAACTAGGTGGACCAAAGGGTCTGTTTCCATGCTGTATGACTCTAACCATTCTCTGTAGGTGAGATTTGAGTGGTAGAACAAACACCATTATACCCAGGACACCTTTCCCCCTGTACCTACAGAAATTTCTGAACCTAAGCCTCCAGATAAAAGTGCAGTGGAGATAACCACCATTTTATTAGTCCAGGATTTACTCATGCTTTCCTGCAACACATAATTGGGCCTTCATCTAAACTCTAGAGATGAGGTTTGCCCTTAACAATATAATAAGTGCAGCATCAAGGTTCCTCAGAAAAAGAAGTGCATGGAAGATGGTTGTGTTAGAGCTCAAATTATCCTATTTTCAGGACATGACTGCTGAGTTTGTCAGGGTAGAGTCCTAGGACCAACTATCTTTGCTTCATCAATGATCTTACCTCGATCCATAAGGTCAGAAATAGAAATGTTCTCTGATGATTGCATGCTATTCAGCACCACTTGTGACCCTTCAGATACAAAGCAGTCTGTGTCCATATGCAATAAGACCTGGACAACATTCAGACTTGGGCTGTTAAATAGGAAGCAACATCCATGCCCCAACTGCCAAGCAAAGACTATCACCAGCAACAGAGAACCTAACCATCTCTCCTTAACATTCAGTGACATTACCATTGCTGCATCCTCCACTATCTACATCCTGCAGGTTATCATTGATCAGAAATTGAACTGTGCTAGCCATACAAACACTGTGCCTACAAGTGCACATCAGAATTCTAAGGTGTGTAACTCACTTCCTGATTCCCCAAAGCCTGTTTACTACGTATAAAGGCACAAGTTAAGAGAGTGATGGAGTATTCCCTACTTGTCTGGATGAGTACAGTTCCAACAGTACTCAAAGCTTCCTGGATGAAGTGACCTACTTGATTGATACACTATCAACAACCTTAAGCATTCACTCCTACCATTGACACTGAGTAGTAATAATGTGTACCATTACAAGATGCACTGCTATAACTCAGAAAGGCTGTTTCAAGAGCAGTTTCCAAACCCATGACCTTTACCACCTAGAAGGATAATTGCAGGCGGTGCATGGGAGTGACGTCAACTCGAAGTTTACTTTCAAGTTACACACCATCCTGATGTGAAACAAATCACCATTCCACCACTGCGGCTCAATCAAACTCTCAGAACTCCCTCTCTAACAGCGATGTGGATTTTTTCAAAATGTAATGGACAACAGTTTAAGAAATGGCTCACCATCAAAATTATACTGGGAAGAATATACTGGCATAGCTAATAATGCCTTAACTAATAAAGAATAAAAATAAAATCTGTAGGACCCATAAATCCTGTGTTCACAAAATAAATGGGATTCCATGTCAAATTCCTATAGACTATTAGGTGCTTCATTAGAGGTCTGCCTTCCCAAAACTGGCAGTTGGACCTGTTTGTGGATCAAAAGGTTATAAGGATCCTGGGGACAAGTTAAAGGTAATCCAACAAAAATGGTGAATTATATTTGGGAACTATTTCCTGAGTGGGGCAAGTTGCTAAAATCTAGAGTATTGTAACTTTGTTTATCAAAACTAAATTCAATAAATGTTATTAATTTAAATTGCAATCAAGTTGAATATATTGTGAGAGCAAAATAGCCTGTTTTATCTATCCTGGCCAAGAATTTCAGCTGACAGTCTGAAACTAGGACCTGATCTAATTGGCTGTTGTAAAATTTAGCATTGCTTGTTGATAATTTGGACCACTATGATCATCCATCCTTGGGTGTATCACTACGACCAACTTGAATCTAGGGCTACACATTTGAAGCTTTTGATGCTGAAATCCTGTTTGCCCAAAAAATCTAATTGGAATTTATTTATTATTATAGTTTAACTCTTGTGTTGCTCCATGTACTTCTGGGCAATTTAAATAAAATATATATTTTGTTGGGGTGCTGGTCCCTTTTTAAGAGCTACAGATTCTTTGCAAGATGAATTCTTTATTTTAAAAGAATCAGCTTATGACTTTCAGCAAGTTATTATATGACCAATCAACCTTTGAGATGAACAATAGGAAGAGAAAATGTCAGACAGATTATAGAGATTGTGGTTATGGTTTTATTGAGGATTTATTGAGTTTGAAAAAAATCTGGCTGCAGAAACCAATAGTATTTCTGAGTTGGCAGAACTAAGCTAGAGTGCAGCAAAGCCCACTCTGGAGATGGAGTGTCCATAGATATGAGGTGCTAAAAGGATGACGGAGAGTTGAATAGCTGAAAGCTAGTGGTTGGAACTCAGTAAAATTCATACCCTGGAGGACAGCAGGAAAGCTGAAAATTCCTGAGAGCTATGACATTTTTTGGTCCCAGAAGTGAAAGAACTTTCAAGAACTAATAAATAACCAAATACTCTTTGGGGGAAATAATTAGACTGAAGGTGAGGTTCTGTTAAGAATTTCAGTCTAAAGTTTGTATGATTGTTTTACAATGTTTTTTGATGTAAAGTACAAGTCTGTTATTAGTTCAGAGATAGTAGGAACTG